AGCAGCACACACAGCATCGCAAGCAGCACAGCATCACCAGTGCCACAGCATCGCAGCAGCACAAACAGCATCACCAGTGCCACAGCATCGCAGCAGCACACGCAGCATCACCAGTGCCACAGCATCGCAGCAGCAACCAGCATCACCAGTGCCACAGCATGCCACAGCATCGCAGCAGCACACGCAGCATCACCAGTGCCACAGCATCGCAGCAGCACACGCAGCATCACCAGTGCCACAGCATCACCAGTGCCACAGCATCGCAGCAGCAGCAGCCACGCATCAAGCATTCACAGTGCCACAGCATCACCAGTGCCACAGCATCGCAGCAGCACACACAGCATCACCAGTGCCACAGCATCACCAGTGCCACAGCATCACCAGTGCCACAGCATCACCAGTGCCACAGCATCGCGGACGTTGCAGGAGCAGGAGGCAAGAACGTCAACTGTCAGTCAAACCGCGTGTCCCTAGCAGAGCATTCAGCACGTGCTGACGGCGAGGAAATTGAAACGGGAGAGATAAAAATGATACAGGTGAGAGGGGGAGAGCGAGAGGGGAAGAGGGGAAGAGACGGAGAATAGAGACGGGAAGGAGGGAAGGAATGGAGAGAGAGGGGCGAGAGGGGAAGAATGGAGGCGGGAAGAACGGGAAGAATGGAGAGAGAAGGGAGAGGGAGAATAGAGACGGGAAGGAGGGGAAGAATGGAGAGAGAAGGGGAGAGGGGAAGAATGGAGAGAGAAGGGGAAAGGGGAAGAATGGAGAGAGAAGGGGAGAGGGGAAGAACAGAGAGAGAAGGGGAGGGGAAGAATGGAGAGAGAAGGGGAAAGGGGAAAGAATGGAGACGAAGAAGGGGAAGAATGGAGAGAGAAGGGGAGAGGGGAAGATGGAGAGCGAAGAGGAAGAATGGAGACAGGGGGATAGGCGAAGGAGGGGAAGAATGAAGAGAGAAAGGAAGAGGGGAAGAATGGAGATAGGGGAAGAGGGGAAGATTGGAGAAAAATGAATAATGAAGAGAGAGGAAAAAGGGGGAAAAGTGGAGAGATGGAAGAATTGAGAGACGGGAAGAGGGAAAGAATTGAGAGACGGGAAGAGGGAAAGAATTGAGAAGGGAGATGAGAAAGAGAAAATGGAGAGAGGGGAAGTGGATAAGAAGGGAGAAGAAGAGCGAAGGAGAATGTAAGGGAGGGGAAAAAGGTAGAAGGCAAGGAAGAAGAAGAGCGAAAGGGGAAGAAGGGAAATAAGGAAAGAATGGAGGGTGCGGAAGAGTAAAATGGAAAGGAGGAAGAGATGGAGAGGGGAATGGGGAGAAATAGAAAGATGATGGAAAGGTGGAAAGACGATTATGGGAAGGGAGAGAGAGCGAGGGGAAGGAAGGAAAACGGGAAGAATGGAGAGATGGGAAGTGGGGGACGGAGAGGAGGAAGGAGGAAGAATATAGCAAGAGAGAGGAAGAGGATGGAAAGGAGAAAAGAGAAATAAGGCAAAAGCGAAAGGGGAAGAGGGAGATGAAGGAAGAAGGGAAGAAAGGAGAGAGGTGAAGAGGGAAAGAGAAAGAAAGAAAGAAGAAAAGAATGGAGAGAGGTGAAAAGGGAAATAGAAAGGGAGAAGAGAGGAATAGAGAGAGGTGAAGAAGGAAATAGAAAGAATAGAGAAGAGAGGAATGGAGAGAGGTGAAGGGGAAATAAAAAGAAAGAAGAACGGAAGAATGGAGAGAAAAGAAGACACTCGGAATGAGAGAGATGAAAAAGGGAAAATTTGGAAGAGGGACAGAAAGAGACAGAGAGAGAGAAAAAGCGAGAAGAGAAAACGAGAGAAGATGAGAGGAAGAATAATGGGAGACAGAGATGGAGAGGAGAGAGTAAGGAAAGGAAGAGGACAAAACAGATGAAGAGGGAAAGAAAGAAGATAGGCAGAGAAGGAGAGGAGAAAACAACGAAATTAGAGAAGATGGGAAGCAGGAAACAAAGAGAGAGGAACTAGAGGGAGACGGAGAGTGGAGGAGAAGAAAGGGGAAGAGTACAATAGATCTGATAAAACAGGAAGAAAAGAAGAATAGAAATGTACGCGAAACAGAGAGAAGGGTCGAAGAGGAGAAAAGAGAGAGAGAGAAAGAAAAAGAGAAAGAGAAAGAGAAAGAGAGAGAGAGAGAGAGAGAGAGAGAGAGAGAGAGAGAGAGAGAGAGAGAGAGAGAGAGAGAGAGAGAGAGAGAGAGAGAGAGAGAGAGAGAGAGAGAGAGAGACAGAGAGAGAGAGAGAGAGAGAGAGAGAGAGAGAGATACAGAGAGACATAGAGAGAGATACAGAGAGAGAGAGAGAGAGAAGAGAGAGAGAAATACAGAAGAGAGAAAGAGATACAGAGATAGAGAGAGAGATACAGAGAGAGAGAGAGAGATACAGAGAGAGAGAGAGAGAGATACAGAGAGAGAGAGAGAGAGATACAGAATATATATATATATATATATATATATATATATATATATATATATATATATATAGAGAGAGAAGAGAGAGGAGAGAGAGAGAGAGAGAGAGAGAGAGAGAGAGAGAGAGAGAGAGAGAGAGAGAAGAGAGAAGAGAGAGAGAGAGAGAGAGAGAGAGAGAGGAGAGAGAGAGAGAGAGAGAGAGAGAGAGAGAGAGAGAGAGAGAGAGAGAGAGAGAGAGAGGAGAGAGGAGGGAGAGAGAGGGAGGGAGAGAGAGAGGGAGAGAGAGCGAGGGAGGGAGGGAGGGAGGAGGGAGGGAGAGAGAGAGAGAGAGAGAGAGAGAGAGAGAGAAGAGAGAGAGAGAGAGAGAGAGAGAGAGAGAGAGAGAGAGAGAAGAGAGAGAGAAACATACAGACCAAAACCATATGAAAGTCAATAAAGAAAAAAATCAAACAGCAACAACAACAAATAAAGCAAAGAAAAACAAAACAAAACAAACAAACAAAAAAAACAATAGAAAAAAATAAATAGAGAAAATAATATCTCCGTTCTCGCTTCCATTGGCACTTGTAACGACGAGTGAAAGTGGAAACCATATTAACCGGGAAAATATTATTTTAACCGAGCGGGTGGGGGTGGGGGAGAAAAAATTGGAATGTATCTGAGTTGTGACATATCTGGCAATCTGCTCATTTTCTGCCGGAATTCCTAATTATCTTTTCATTGTAACTGTTCAGTCTCTACCTCCCCCCCCCACCCCCCGTACTCCTACCTCTCTTTCCCCTCTTCAACCGCTCCTCTCTCTCTCTCTCTCTTTCTGTCTTTCTATCCTCTCTCTGCTCTCTCTCTCTCTCTCTTTCTGTCGCTCTCTCTCTGTCTCTATATCTCTCTCTTTCTATAATCGCTCCTCTTCTCTCTCTTCTTTCTGTCTTTGCTCTGTCTCTGTCTCTATATCTCTCTGTCTATTCTCCTCTTCAATCGCTCCTCTCTCTCTCTCTTTCTTTCTGTCTTCCTATCGCTCTCTCTCTCTGTCTCTATCTCTCTCTTTCTCTTTCTGTCTCTCTCCCTCTTTCTCTTTCTGTCTCTCTCTCTTTCTCTTTGTCTTCTCTCTCTCCTCTCTTCTCTGTCTCTCTCTTTCTCTTTTTGTCTCTTTCTCTCTCTCTCTGTTTCTGTTTGTCTTTCATTCTCTCTTTTTCTCTGTTTACCTGTTTGTCTGCCTATCTCTGTCTCTTTCTCTCCCTCGCTCTGTATCCCATTCTGTTTTTATTCGTCTGGTATATTCTATCTCACTGAGTAATCTTTGTCTTTCTGTCTCCACCAATCACTGTATTCCCTCTTCCCTTCCTCCTCTCCTTCTTCTCCTCTTCTTGTCTCCCTTTCTCTGTTCGATATTTATCACTCGATTCCATCTTCATATTGATTCATTGTGATCTTTTAACCTTATCGCTTTTCCTTCTCCCCTCTTTATTCCCTTTCTCATTTCCTCTTCGTTGACGCGATTCTTTCGTTCCATTTCCTTCTTGTATTTCTTCTCGTATTTCGTTGATTACGCTTCGTCGCTTTTTTTTTTTTTTTTTACTCTTTTACATTTCGTTTTGGTCACCTAGTATATTTTTTATGCATTTGATAAAATATTCGATTCACGTTGTTGTTTTTCTTATCATAATTTTCAAATTCTATTTCTTGATATTCATTATCTAGTATCAACGATTTTTGTTTGAGCTAATGTGCTTCTAGTGAACGATTGTTTGTCAAATAATTGCAAGGACAGAATGTAACAAATTATCCTGCAATTAGCCCGGTTATAACAGCCATTCACTGAACATCCTTCATCCTTCAGTTTTACACCAATTCATCCTTCTAGTGGAACATACTAGTTGCCAGGCACCCAGCAAGGGTAATAGAGGCACCTTGAACGACTTACCTGAGGCACTCAACACACGTGGCTGACTCGTGGCTACTCACTATCTTACAAAAACAGGTGTTGGGGGTCACTATCATTTCAACAAAGGTAATGGGATCACCTCAGCACAGGTAGTCTGAATACCCACATCTCAGCGCAGGTAGTGGGAGCATCAGCAACTCAGCGCAGGTAGGGGGAGCATCAGCAACTCAGCACAGGAGGTGGGGTGACCATCACCTTATCACAGGTAGAAGGACCACAATAACCCCGTCACAGGTAGTGGGATCAACCTATTACAGATAACGGTATCACAATCACCTCAGCACAGGTAGTGGAATTACCATCACCTCGACACTGGGGGATCACCATCACTAGAACAAATAGCGATGTCTCCATCACTCTAGTACAGGTAGTTGGAGATCAGCTGAAACGCACAAGGTAAAAAAGAAAAGAAAAGAAAGAAAGAAAAAGAAATAGAAAAACGCACGATCACACATACCGGCAATGGGTAACATAACCAGTGTTTCACCAAGTTCGCAAAGTATACTTACCCAGTCCTACCTGCTGCGTCTGCTGTCAGGTACGGGTGCCAGCAATTACAGCAGGAACAGAACTCGTTCCCAGCAGACGGAGGGGGCGGACCCGACCGCTAACTTGCCTCTGAAGTTGCTATAAATTATCATCAACTTTTGAATTTCAGAACCCGTAAAGTCTCGCGCTAGGTCGACGGTGTGTCCCGCGACTCTTTTGTGCTGCGCTTGGCTGCCCTCGCTCGTTCGCTTGTTTTGGTCCCGGGGAATGCTTGTTCGGCTGGCCTTGTCTTGTGTCGACGGGAGATTCTTTTTTTGTATTATTATTATTTTTTTTTGTCCTTTCGTCTTTGCTCTCTCTTTCTCCTTTTCTCTCTAGGTCTCTTTCTCTCTCTTTCTCCTCTTCTCTCTCTCTCTCCTCTCTCTTTCTCTCTCTCTCCTTTTCTCTCTCTCTCTCTCTCTCCTCTCTCTCTAGTCTCTCTCTCTCTCTCTCATCTCTCTCTTCTCCTCTCTCTTCTCCTCTCTCTCTTCTCTCTCTCTCTCTCGTCTCCGTCCCTCTCTCTATCTCTTTATCTGATTGGCGCGTTTTCTCTCTTCCGCTTATTGATTTTCAGCAATATTCCGTTTTCCATTTCTCTTCCTTTCTATTTATCCAGATTTCTTCTCTCTGTTATTATTTCATCTGCTTTTCTATCGATCTGATTTTTTTAATGTTCTCATTCTCTCTCACTTCATGTTTATCTTTCTATTTCCTTTTCTTCCTTTATTTGGTATTTTATATCCTTTTTTTTCGTATCTATTCTTGTCCTCTTTTTTATTCTCTCTCTCTCTCTCTCTCTCTCTGTCTTCTCTCTCTCTCTCTCTCTCTCTCTTAAGATTATTAGTTTTCGGGTCTAAAGAAGGCTCCTGTTTATACTGACAGTATAAATGGCTCAACAAAACTATTGATTAATCATTAAATCATTCTCACTTTCCCTCCGGATTTGAAATCAGCCTTTGCACGTCATGCAATTAATTAACACTGAATGTCCTAGTTCAGTATCGTTAATTAGGAGAAAGTTGTCGCCCGCACTGCATGAGAGCAGGTCGATGATTGGTCGTCCGTTGTTCAAACCGGCCAATCAGCGCGCGCGTTGGATCGGGCAATGACAGCGGCAGCAAGTGACTCGGCAATTACGCCAAATTTCCTAACGACAAAACCCTTAAATATAGACATTCCTCTCTCCCTTACAGCGGCGGCGGAGGCATGTGTGTGCTATCCCTCCTCCCTCCTCCTTCTCGCCGGCGATAAAAACGTTCAAATCTATGAAAAACGTTGCAGCGCCGCCATTCGCAAGCGATACATAAATGCTAAGGCTGACTGATTCATTACGGAGCTCAATTGTAGAAAGGTGGAGCCCGGCACCGTAGGCTAGTGACGCGCCGGCCAAGAGCGTTCCTCCGGGGGCGCCTCCTGGAACTCCGGGCGGGACGCGGCGCTCGCTCGGGGGAATCCTGATGGAGAAACATCGCTGGGGCCGTGGGTGATGTTCGAAGGAGAGAACTCGGAAGCGAAAGGATGTTGATATTTCGGAAGGCTGAGGAGATGGAGACTCTGGAGCTCGTTGAAGTTGATGTTTAGAAGCCAGTGAAGTTTTGAAAACGAAGTGATGATGTTTCGAAAGTCTGATGAAACGGACTCGGAAACTGAATGAAGTTGAGGTTTGATAATCGGTGAAGTTTGGAACTGAACGTACAATGATGTTGGTATCTTGAAAATATATGAAATTTGGAATTAAAGTATATTGATGGATATCAAGAAACATGAGGTCGTGTTGATAAGTGTTGATATTCGGAGACACGGTGAGCTACATATTTGGAAACATGTTAAAAGGTAAATATTTGCAAATGCGTTCGAGTCAATACACGGAAACATGTTGAGGCAGAAACTTGGAAACATATTAAGGCTGATATTCAAAGCAACTTTGTTGAATGATGCATACATAGTGGACCATTTGTGGCTCGTAAAAAAAACACTTATTGTGTCTGTGTATTCCAGAGTGTGGTGAAGTATGACGATGCCCTTGTGAAAGAAATGCGCTATTTTGTTAAGTGATGTGCTGTGATGTAAGAACGTCACTTCTTTTATATATGCTTCATATGGTACGGCGTAAGTAGTTATGGAATGGATCGATAGAGAAATGACAAAGCATTAATAAAAGGAGTCGATAAAATGGATTTACAAATATTTAGAGAGAGAGAGAGAGAGGGAGAGAGAGAGAGAGAGAGAGAGAGAGAGAGAGAGAGAGAGAGAGAGAGAGAGAGAGAGAGAGAGATGAGAGAGAGAGACAGAAGAGAGAGGAGAGGAGGGGAGAGGGATGAGAGAGAGGAGAGGAGGAGAGAGAGAAAGAGAGAGGGAGAGAGATAGAGAAAGAGAGAGAGAGAGAGAGAAGAAAAAGAGAGAGAGGGGGAGAGAGAAAGAGAAGAGGAGAGAGAGAGAGAGAGACAGACAGACAGAGAGAGAGAGAGGGAGAGAAAGAGAGAGACAGAGAGGGGGGGGAGGAGGAAGAAAGGAAGAAAGAAAAAGTGAAAGACAGTTAAAAGCAAATATTTTCCTAACATATAAAAATACAAATCCAAAAGATGAAAGAAAAAACAAACAATCAACGAACAAAAACAAAACAGAAAAAACACCCCCTTAAAAAAAAGGAAAAACAAACAAATCAAACGAGAAATAAGACCAAACAAAGCAAAGCAAAAACTCAAAACCATGAAATGCAATAACCGTTCACCATAATTTGGAACCACCATCCCCGCGACCGGAAGCAATAGTAAATAAATCAACAGGGATGGTGCAGCGCCGCTTATGGTGACAACGTACCTAATGATTTATCTTTCGATCTTCGGGCCTGCAGCTGCGATAAAAAAAAAAAAAAAAAAATTGTGACATCTGGTGGTTGCGTTCTTGATGAGTGTTGTGGGTGTATATGTTGTTGTGATTGTGATGAGTGTCATTGTGATTGTGTTATAATTGGTGTGGTGACTGTCTTATGACTGTGTGGGGATTACTGAATTGTGATGACTGTGTTGTGGTGATTGCGTTGAGATGACCAGGTTGTGGTGATGTGTTGTTGATGAGATGACTATATTATGGTGACTGTGGTGGTCCACTGTTGGATTTGTCTGTCTGTTCATCTATCTTACTTTCTTATAACCATTGTGATGATGATCGTGATAATGAGGGTGATAGTGATAGTAATTTTAATAGTGATAGTGATGGTGATGATAATCCTCCTCAACCTCCTCCTCCTCATCATTATGCTTGTATTCATAAATATGCTTTTTATCCATAATAATGAATATTGCTTTCCATTATTTGTATCATTATCATCATTTATTATTGTTATTATTATTATTATCATCCTTCTTCTTATTATTCTTATTATTATCATGTTAATTTATTACTACTTATTCATTCATTATTAATCATCCAGTGTTTTCACTATTATTTTACTATTATTTGCATTATTACAATGATAATGATGATTTATTATTGTTGTAAATTGATGTAGTTTATTATTCATATACTATACGCATATTAATTGCCCGTTGCTGTTGCTATTGTTGTTATTATTATTACCTTCTTTCGTATTATATTAACCATTGTCTTTATTATTAATCATTATTATTATCGTTACATCATCATTACTGTTATCAATATTGTTATTGATTACTATTATCATATTATTGTTATTGTTTATTATTATTGTTATTATTATTATTATTATATTATTATTTATTATTATTATTATTCGTTGTTGTTGTTATTATTATCATCATCCATTCATTATTATCACCGTTGTTATTGTTATTATTATCATCACTGCCATTATTATTATCATTATTCAAGATTTGTAATGCATGTAATTATTCTTATCATGTTAATTATTACATTGTCGACAGTATTATTGATTTTGATAATATCATCATTAATGCTAATTTCATTATCAATATCATTGTCATTATTACCATAATAGTAATAGTAATTATTTTTATATTTATTACTTTTATTATAATTGTCATTTTCATTATCAGTATCACTTTTTCTTAGATTTTTATTATCATGTCAAAACTGTTAATGGACATCACTAATACAATTTAAATTATTCTTATAACTTCCATTTTCATCACAAGCAAAATTTCCTTTCATTTTTCTCTCAATTTTTGTCACTGCCATCACAATCAACATGATTTGTCGTGTTGGATTATAAAAATAATAATAAAAAATAAAATAAAAAAAATTGAAAAAATAAATAATAGATAAATAGATAAATAGATAGAAAAATTTCCCAAACAACTGTCATCCCAAGCAACCCAGCATCGCAAACAAGGCAAGTACCTGAACAGCTTAAGCCATTAGCCCCGCTCTAATTAACCTGCAAGAAACACTTCACTGTGAATGAAGACAAAGACAAGTGGATAAGTGTGCTCGGTGTATTACGTCATCACCGTTGACCGTAATTAAGGACACACCTGAGTGGTCTCTATTAGGTCTTTCAACACTTGGAGACAAATGACCTGGTTTGGGTTGTCATTTCGTATTTTCTGGGGGGGGGGGGAAGGGGGAAGGTAGGGGAAGGGGGACTTAATTTTTTGTTGTGTGTTCTAGAGTTCTGAATATACATATGTATGTATATCTTTCTGAGTAGGTTGGTATTGTTTTTAAGATCTTGTGTCGTAAGTTAATTTTTTTTTATGTGAGTAGCTGTGGACTGATCTCATTGCTTTCATTGTCGATGATAGATAGACGGTTATACACATATGTTATATATACTTATACATTACATGAATCATACGACTTACATATTATATACATATATTTATGTATATAATATATGCCCTATATATTTATTATATGTAACAATTATATTTATATATATGGTACATTATTATATATATATAATATAATATTATATAATATTATATATATATATATATAATATAATATATATATATATATATGAGTATATACACTACACACACCACACACACACACACCACACACACACACCACACACAACACACACACACACACACACACAAACACACACCACACCACACACACACACACATATATACATATGTATGTACATATATACATGTATA